GTTTAATTGAACCAGTTTAACTTCACTGGTTTAATTTAACCAGTTTAATTGAACCAGTTTAACTTCACTGGTTTAATTGAACCAGTTTAACTTCACTAGTTTAATTGAACCAGTTTCACTTCACTAGTTTAATTTAACTGGTTGAACTTCACTAGTTTAATTGAACCAGTTTAACTTCACTGGTTTAACTTCACTAGTTTAATTTAACTAGTTGAATGGAACCAGTTTCACTTCAGCTGCTGTGGGCTCATAAACAAACTGGAGCTAACAGGAGTTAGCTTGACAAGGTTTAGCTCGTGAGTAAACAGAAAGTGAGCCAGGTTAGCTCTAACCTAGTTAGTTAGCTGACTCGTCGAGGTGTCGGTGGACCCAGCAGCTGTAAGTCACCTGGAGCAGCACGTACCTGGAACACGAGCCGCTCACACTTTGTGAAGATCCACAAGTTTAATCCGGAATAAAGTGTTGACACACGATTAGCTTCAGCCACCATAGGTCCCGCCCAGCGAGGCGCTCAGCAGATCTGATTGGTCAGAAACTGTGACGAGCCTTGTTGCGTTCAAATAGTAAAACAATGTAAGAAATTTGATGTTCAAGCTGGAAAAATACGATCCAGGATTATAATCAGGTTTATTGAACGAAGTTCTTTTCAGGTGGTTTTGAATGAATTTACAAACTGAGAAAATAAAAATGCTACTGAAGAGGAACGTGGTTACAAATAAGGACAACAGAGCTGAGTAAAGATAGGAAATCATAAAACATCCCAGAAACGTCCCTACACGCTGATTCATATATATACTAACAGATCACACACTCACATGTTGTCATCATTCACTCTGTTGCTGTTTGTGAACCATGTGTAATAATTTAAGCTGTTTTTTAAAATCCTAGTGGAAGAGTTGTGTGTTTTCCTGGTTTCTCTCAAACGGGTCTTCGCCACCAGCCTGTTGTGTTCAGTGTGTTGCCAAGGAACGTCGAACCTTCGCCTCTGGTCCAATCAGCGCTGGGGAAACGTGTCACGTGCGTCGAACTGACCAACCACAGAGCGCGTGTGGTCGCTGTGTTGAAGTTCTGTAGACGTGTTGTCCGTTAGCTCTCCGCAGTTTGTTCGCTCCTCAGAAGCTGCGCTGCCGATAAACTTCATCCTGTGATTATTATACTTTGCTTTACTTTCTCTTATGGTAAGAACATCGGTCAGTGAATCCCACAGACGCTAGTACGGCTGCCATCAAGGTTAGCTAACAAGCTAACGCTAAAGTCAAGCTCGTGCATACTTCCTGCGAAGCCACGCTGCATTTGTTAATGTGTTTAAGGCTTGAACACGTTTATAGAATGATGTGAAACTACTGCCGAATCCACGTGTGAATAATTCTAAGTGCCTGTTGTTTAGCTTGGAATTCATAGTAGTGATTGTTTGTGGTAATGTTAGTATCGTAATCTAAATTAGTGTTATTGTAAATGGGATCCGCTTCTAATTGCCGCAAGATTTCGTTTGTAGTCAATATATTCCACAGTATTATATTAGAATTCAAATGAATAGTTCATAATGATGGTTTAATATTATAATCACTTTTTTTCTTCCTTGTTTGACTTTGTAGCAGTGACACAAATGTCTGACTGCAATAAACATGATGTGGTCCAGGAAAGTTTCCACCTTATTAAGACAGAAGAGCAGAAATATGAAGCAGTCGAATTATTCTTCCAACTGTGTCTTGACTTAGTTTCCCTGGGTTTCCACTCACACACCTTTCCTTACCTGTGACATCAACTTAACATTGCTCACCATTGTAAATCCTTGTGTTAGCACGTAAACTGTTGGAAATACTCAGTCATCACTCATTCACTGTGTTTGACAGAGGAAAGCAACGAGGAACCGCTCGAGTTCCCCTCCGATTCATGTGCATGTCAACGAGGCCACACCTGTCCATGTGCACGTGATGGGTCATAGGACGCATGCTGCCAAATCCCCTCAGGTTAGAGATGCAATTGTTTTATTAACATGATTCACGTGTACTTCATATTCAGTTTTATCTTTTGTTACAAATCTGCACTTGTTATATTTCTTATTTTCTGATCAAATAATGTTCCCACCCATTCCCCTCACTCCTTTTCATAGTGCACATCTGATCTCATATGATTGAGTTATTTTGCAGCATTGGAAGACCTGACTGTAACAAGATGTGTTTTTAAGGTGAGGACCAAGATGGACAGAGGAAACCTCCGTCCTACAGCCACGGTCAAAACTCGAGTGCCATGGATTCCACCAGGAAAAGCCTCAATACGAGACGCCTCCTACAAGTGGGAGGTAACTGATCTTGAAGCCTCTGCTCGTTCTTGTCTCAGGATTGTGAATGTGCTCAGCCAGTCAGGATGTTGTGTTAATGAAAGTGTCATTCGCACCCAGGGACCAACGCACCACCTTGAGATCACGCCACCGCTCCCCGAACCAGAGCCTGATCAGTCCCACTCTGCACTGCGATTGGCTGAGCTCACATCAGAGGAAGAGGAAGGGCTTCACGGACGAATCAGCCAGTATGAGAGGAAGATTGACAGCTTACTGACAGACGTCAGCTCTCTAAAGAATGAGGTGAGTCTCTTCTCTGTCCACTTTGGACTGGTCAGTACAAAGTTATGAGTTCCATTACTTTTGAGTCCTACATCTAAGAGCACTCTTTTTACAAATGAAAATCTGTGTACTTTGCTTCCGCACAGGTAGATCTGGTAAAATGCATTGTTTTCAAAGCATGTAGCCACCAGCTTCTACTCACTGGCCATCACTTTTATCAAAGTTTGCCACGGAAGCTCGTAGCTGAATCTAAATGTGCTGACTTCCTCAAACTGTCTGGCCTGTTTGAACTCCTCAAACCTGTTCAGAAAAAGATTTGAGATTCATTATAAGGTCAATATCTCTGCATTGTTAATATCCCATAGCAACAAATACAATTTGAAGTCCTTCACGTTGCACGTTCTGTCCTCCGTACATCCCTGCAGACTTGCAGACTGACATGAGGCTGGTGAGCAGATTAGTCATGTCCCCAGTATCATATTGTTTGTGTACATGTCCACATGTACATTTGCATATCTGTCACATATATGTGCAGGTGGAACTCCGGAAAAGAGAGCAGCTGCTGGAGCGTCAGTCGGAGCAGCTGAGCGTCTCCCAGCGGGTGATCGCCAAGCAGGAGGAGGAGCTTGCTGAGGTGACCAAGGAGCTGGAAGAGACTGAGCGGGAGAACACACGGTTACGTCAGTCGATGGAAAAGATGCTGGATCAGAGCGACTACAACAGGCAAATATGAAACTTAACTTAGTTTTCTCTCCCTCTTCATCTTTGTCTCACTTTTTCTTTTGACTTTCTGGGACAAGCGTGATGATTTCAGCTTCACAAATATTTTACCCATAATTCATTTGTCTGTGTGCTCAAATGTTCTTGTAGCATGTGACTCTGACACTTCAGGACATTTTTAGAGCAACATATATTTCACTCTGAGAATTCTTTAGTATGAATGTCTGGAGTCCTAATTCCTGGCACTCAGAGTCATGCTGGTTTTATTCTAGTCATGTTAATGGAAGTTATTTTATTCCTGGGATAGTTGGGTAGAGATCCATCCAGGGTTAGATTCTTCATTTTAATCAATCTGTCTGATGCTTCTCCAGTAGGTAGACATTTTTCTCTGTGGCCTGAAGTCAGATCGGATTTTATTTCTCTGACATCATCTCTACAGATGACAAAGTTAGTTTGTGTTGACCTGGATTATTGTCCCTGTCTCATTGCAGATTAGACCGGGACAGTACGCAACAAGACAAAGACGCTCTGCTCAGAAAACTGATGGAGGCTGAGATGGACGGAGCTGCGGCTGCTAAACAAGTCTCAGCCCTGCGAGAGTCTGTTTTCAAAGTGTGTGGTTCTAGTGTGAGTATGAACTCATTGTTTGACCTTGTGTGTCCTGTCCGACCCAACATACTTGAGAAAACAGGTAACTTTGCTTTTTTATCTGTCAGGAAGCTTGAAAACCTTTTCTGTTGTTGTGACACTAAACTTTTATTAACCAATGTCTTTGCTCCTCTCTGTGTTTTCTGTTTGTCCGTACAGAGGCTGTCAGACACTTCAGTCTTAGGTCGTCAGAAGGAGCTGCTGCTGCAGAAGTTGGAGACGTTTGAGGCCACAAACCGAACGCTGCGGCACCTTCTCAGAGAGCAGCACAGATCCCAGGTACAGTGTGATGCAAAACCACATGAAGTAGTCTTCTGATTCTCTGATTGCTCATCTGACTCCAGATTTATAAAAAGGGTCTACAATACAACCATATGTATCAAAGGGATAGTTATGGTAAGTGTAGAGAAATACCACAGACCATTGTCTCACAACTGTGATATTATATTATAACCGTGAGGATGATCATGGTCCCGACAGTTCTCAGCTGCAAAATATTAAACTTTGTTAAGTTTCATGTTGTGAGGTAAATGTCTTTGAACAGATGGAGTCAATGCGACTGTCGGAGCAGAAGGATTCGTTACTGAAGAGACTCGCAGACACTGAGGCAGAAAATGCTGTGAGTTGAGTATGAACCTGTAAAATCTACTTTATTTATAGACTTTTATTTTCATGAACCTCATTGCATCATGTGTTCTCTTTGTTTTCTCATTGACAAGCTGACAAGCTACACAAATTACCCTGACGATCATTCTCCTGTTTTTTATACGTATATAAATAAAGTTCGACCTCCTTTTCCCTTCAGTTTCTTGTGGTGAAACTTCAAGAGAGAGAAAAAGAGCTCGATCAACTCTCTAAACGTCTCGATACCGAGAAGGTACAGTTTAGTTTAAGTTTAGTCTATTTCACACAATATAAATTAAAAATACATCGTGATGCATCGTTTAGTTCGGCAGGTTAAAGCAGAATCCTCATTCTTACTCAATATGTGTTCTGGAATTTGAAAATGCAGGATAACGCTAAGAGATCAGCTGATCTGTCCAAGAGTGTGGAGTCAACGAGAGGACATTTACAAGGACAGCTCCGCAGCAAAGAGGCAGAGAACAACCGGCTCACGGTGCAGATAAAGGTTTGTCCCGGGATTTTCTCCTGTGTCTTCATCTATTGTTGTTTGTTGTTTGAATGTATTCATGAACACATCCCCTGCAGTCCCGCACATATGAACCCTGGTTTCTTCTCCAGAACCTGGAGCGAGCAGCCGACCAGCAGAAGGCAGAGATGGACCATCTGAAGGAGCAGCTGACGAGGCAGAAGGAGCAGACCTGCACAGACCGAGAGGACCTGAAACGAGCTGCACGAGCCCAAAAACAACGAGCTGAGCGCAGCGAGGACACCGCAGGCCAGCTGAGCAACCAGCTGCTGGACATGGTAGGGCTGCGTCACCGAGCAGACACTGAATCTCTAGATTTAATAGTCAGAGAGACACAGGTGGAGCTTTTCATTAGCAATAGCAAGTCCGTTTTTTTATCTCTTACAGGAGAAGCAGGTGGCAGAAGCACTTTCTGCAGCTGAGACCTGGC